GCTAGTAAGTCAGAATTGACTTGATGGCACATTAAAATGATGTTAATAGACCCAATGTGGTATAGCGGCTAGAGTGTCAAACTTGAACTCAGGGACCTGATTTCAAATCTAAACCTGGCCATGGAAATACACTAGGGGGTGGGGTGGGAATTGTAAACCAATTCTTGAACATCTCACATATTTTGCAAAACCTATTGGACTGAGCATAAGATAGAAAGCGAGTCGATGGCACATGACAACACTGCACATAACAAGCGAGTCGATGGCACATGACAACACTGCAGATAAGCATGAATGAGCACTTTTTGAGAAGGGGGATAGAGAAAAGAAGTGTAGTCTCACTCAATCTACATCTTCCAGATATGCTGGGTTATATCAGCTGTTTTCTCTCAAGCAAAAGTTCCAGGCTGGTTAAGGCATTATGGAAGAAAATATGTAGTCTAACATATTTGAACTGCCCTGAATGGGGAAGGTTGCCTTAATTCTGCAGGCCTCCCACACAAATGTCCAAGTTAACACAGCACTGATGGGAAGGTTTTGTTCCTTGGTGGTCATCCTTTGCTTTCAGCAGTGGCAAAAATTCTGCAGCTACAAGAGGTAATGCCATAAGTAGCAGAACATTTCTGCAATGAAAAGACTTTTGGCTTTATTTTCTTATTATATTTGTTCGAACTATTCTATGCTGCAGTTTAAAAGTGTGAATGATTCAAAATGGCTGCACTGATGGTTTACAGCCAGGCTAAAGCTGTCATCAAAAATGAAAGCAGCAGCTGAAGCAGACTAGCAATTGAGAGCAGTTGCTTAATTCTTCTGGCAGTTGAGGTTCTGCAGATACCAGCCTCTTCCTCCATTCCCAGGATGAATGGAGCTGGGAACTCGACAGAGACAGCCTGCTTAACCCTTGGGGCAGGGAGGAGCTGGCACTGCTGTCTGAGCAAGGTACCAGTTAATATCATGAACAAAAGGTGCCACAGAACGAGCCTTAACTGGAGTAGAACCCAACCCCAGAAGTAACTACTGTACACTGAAACTCAGATGAAAATGCATCAAATGTGGCAGTTAAATATGCACATATACTTCTCTGCAAAATTTCTGCTTAGATGCAGTCTGCAAAAATTATTCAAGAGAGCACTGATCTTGATGGCTGACTTAACTTCAAAGAAGCCATATAAATGTTAAACATTGTTGTTATTGCAGGCCAAAAGGTACTTAAAAGTAATTAACAAAACAGGCATATGATTCTTCCAAAGATAAACAGGCAACCTGTTTTCAACATACAATATGCCACTCTAGAAGAAAGAAGGATGCAAGGCAGCAGTATCATTACACTTTGCAGGAATCCAGAGTTGCTCTAATTACCCCTCCCCCAACAGTCTTCCATCACCTAGTTACTGGAACAACACTGGATTGCTCTCCAGTATGTTCTAGTTTTAACTTAACTCAATCCGTGAATACATGAGGTGAAGTAGATCAGCCAGAACACCAACCTATTTACTTCAGCAAACACAACATTAATTAAAATACTGTTCTGCCAAGCTAACTGGCATAAACCTGCTAGCGAATCAGATGTTATTAAAGATCTAAATAAATAAATTTAAGGGATCTGGAGAAATAAGTTCATAGAAAATGTACACACTCTGTGCATTTCTAATTTACAAATTATTGATCAACGGATGAAAAGGAAGAGCCTTTTGGAAAAATACAGACAGCGGCAAGATCTTTTGTAAATTTTTATGTACAAAAATACACTTACAAGTAACTCAACTTTCTATTATCAAGTTCAGGTATGAGAAAAGGACTATGTCCATGGCATTTCTTACCAAAGTATGGGTACAATTTAGTGAGCTTGCTACTGTATGTATTTGCTCATTTAACAATAGGCTTGAGTAGGGGCTCTTCTAACCACATTTCTGTAAATAGAGAAATGTGTAACAATAGATAAGGGATTCCTGAATCCCAGAGAACATTGCTGCTTTTCCCTCCTGTTGGATTTTAACTTCTGTGCAACAGACAGGAATACTGTACAACAAGTTAAGGTTTTCATCACCACATCTGCAAATCTCCAAAAATCCAAATATTTGCTTGTCCTTCTTTGAAGAGATACATGAACATACTGTGCATTCTATCTAGCATATACAATATAGTATTTGCATGGAGTTTATTCCCCACTATGCCTCCCAGGAGAAAAAGCCAGCCTGTGTAGCCTTGGGTAAGTTGTACAGTTCCAGAGTACCCTCAGAAGAAATGAATTACGACTCACTTCTGAGTACTCTACATCCAGCACACCTTGGAAAGGGTCATCGTAGCTTGGAATGGAGTTGATAGTGAGCAATTATCCTTATTATTTTTTGAGCACAGAGTCATACTTCCAGAACTAAGGCACACAAGTTTGTTTTAAATGCATTAATATTTGTCACTGAAAAAATCTCTGGCTGCAGAAATGAGATATGAAAGTTCTGCCAATGATGTCTGATTTGTGAAAGTTCATTGACATATACCAATCCCCCACTTGGCCCTAGCATCAGGGCCAAGGAGTGTTTATAAGTTCTCAAAATATTGTGTCTATATGTTTTGGTGCTTAAGGACTTTTACAAAAGCTCAGTATGTTCAAAAACTAAATATGCTTAAATAGGAAATAATAAACACCTGCTAACTGTTCTGCTGTATGTTTTAGTTCAAATGGGATGAACTTACATCAACAAAAGTAGAAGTGTCTGTTATCCTACCATTGCCCACACCCAGCCTCTCAAGAGGAAAAACCAACATGAGACCAAGAAATCATGTTTATGGGGTTTTGATGGGGAGAGGCTGGGAGGGGATGAGGAAGGAATGGCTTTCCAAACAAAAAACTCAAGAAGAAGGGTTTGAAAAACAAAGCATGCTGTTTCACATGCAAAGTTGAGCCCGCGTTCTGAAAAGTAAACAGCTGTGCTTCAAAGTGGACTATGGACTTGTGTTTGTATGGTTCACCAACAGAGAAAAAGCTGTTCCTAGAGAAACGTACTATCCACCAATTGCCTCCCAATAGAAATAAATTACCCTTTCTAGAATAGTTACTCATTCTCATATGGCATAAAAAAAGGAAACATGTGCCCCTTTCTGAAGACTCCCACAGCCCTCCTATAAAATACACGCAGCATCTCAGCCTCAGCAGGCATGGCAACTGGTCTTTGGCAGAGAAAGGAAAGGGGAAACAATCTCCTGCAAACATGTACAGTATTACAAAGCATTTCTAAAGGGGAAGAGCTGGGATTTCAGTCTCACCCAAAGCTAGCAACCTCAATCTAAAATCTCAACTTCCACTCCTGGGTCCTACATGTCAGGGGACAGAAAGGGTGTTTACTTTCAGAAATAACTGAAATAGAGCTGAAGTAAAGGGGTGGGGGGGGAGAGGCAAAGGGCTTCCTCAGGGTCTTTCCCCCTCCTATTCAGAAAGTACTTCCTTGCTAGAAACTATGAACAGCTGCATATAGATTTTTTTACTTCCATACAACCAACCACAGCTATTTCTGCTTTCCCAGTGCATGCCTCCAGGTTGAATTAGGTACAATGTCTAATTTAACTTGCAGGCATGCAATACATGACAGACAACAAAGCCAGGTTTGTACAGAGCAGAAAGAGCAGGTGTATGTCTGTGAACTGGAGCACCTGGTAGCTGAGACAGTTCATACCTCCCCTTTGCCTCCTGGGAGAGGAACTAGCTGGAAACCCCATGGGAGCAGGGGAATGGGGCTACAAGCCTTGTTGTCTATGGAGCCTTGGGCAAGTTGAACAATCCTAGATTAACACCAGAAAGAGTGACTGGTAAAACCACTTCTGAGTATTTTATCTCTCATAAGCCCTGGGAGGGTCATCATAAATTGGAACCCACTTAACAGGACTTTTATTATCATTATCATTATCATCATCATTATTACTATTATTATTTATTGCAAATAAAGAGCAAAAGTCAAACAGTGCTCCCTGCTCAGTACCAAATGTGCCTGCAGTACATTCAGTGAATCCACAGGTTATTTTCTCAGCCCTACACTTAAAACATTGTGCGTTTTCAAAAACAAACAAACAAACAACAGCGTGCATGGAGTGGCTCCCAGTTGCAAAGACTTCTAAACAGCAGCGCCTGGTAGGTCTGGCTAAAAAGGACAAGGTATGAAGCAGAACAACATTTTTCTTCGTCAAGGTACTCAGACCAGAGAGTTAGCAAGGCTCAAAAAGTCTTTTGGCAATTCCATACCACCCAAAGGAAAGGGGTAGGTCTAGAAACCTCACTCAACTTGGCATTTTTCCCTCCAACAACTATGAAAGTACGCCCTAAGCGCTGCGAGTGGATAAGTCGCTTTTTTTTTAAACCTAGAGATGCTTAACTGCGTCGAGTCTAAGAGTCTCATGCACAAAGAAATTTCCCCGGAGCTAAGACCACTCGTGAAGACCCAACCCCGAAATACACGGATGGGGCTATGAATTGAACAGCCTCGCTTTTTTTCCCTCCTTCCTCCTCAGGGAGTTTCTCGTCCGCTTTCGGCCTCCCTTCAGAAAGGCCGACGGGGCCAGGCCCCAGAAAGGCCCCCTGCAGCCAACCGCCCACCTCCAATCACAGAGAGGCAACCTAAGGCCCTGAACTCTGTCCCGCGCTCCTCTTTCAATAAGAAACGCATTTTCTAGCGTTCCAGATACACTACCGTCTCCTCTCCCTGCAGGCGGGAGCGCGTGCGGAGAAAAGAGGGTTCATCGGGGAATTCACCCCTGCGCGCGCTCTCGCTCGTTCGCGCTCTCTCTCACACACCCCTTCGCCTTGATCGGTGCTTTATATTCCAGAAGGGAATGGATTTCTCCCGTTCAAGCTACGAACTCCCCATGTCCGCCCAAAGCGCGAGGGACACAGGGAGGCTTCGGGTTCCCCCTTTAAAAGGCAGGCTTGATCTGCGCACTCGTGTTCACTTGCCAAGGGAACTACGCAGGTACAAAGGAAGATGATACACCGCGGGTTTGTTTGCACTTACATGTAACCGTCAGAGTTCAGGTCCCCTCCGTAGCTCTTCTGGATGTAATACACCTTATGGGTATGGCTGCTTCCTCCTCCTCCACCACCGCCGCCGCCGCCGCCTCCCCCCATCATGTGCGAGTTCATTTCGTAGCGCATATCCGTGCCGGATTCGGTTCTGATCATCCGCCCTCCCATGCCCAAGGTGTTGAGCCTCGGGAGGGATCCGCCGCAGCCGCCGTTCATGCTCATCTTGGCAGCTCTGCCGGCTGACGCTCCGCGCTTCGGGTGGGAAAAGGGAGAGCCCGGTCAGAACAAAAGCATGGACTCGCCCCGGCCGAACCGGAGGGAAGTTTCTTCGGGGAAGGGAAGGCTGCTCCCGCCGCCGCCCCTCTCTTTCCTCCACTCGCCGCCCCCAAGCCTTCGCAAGGCGCAAGTCTTCAAGCAGTGCCCAGAGAGAACCAAGGAAAACTTAAAAAAAAAAAAAGCGCGAGGCGGTAAGGAAGGAGACAAAAATGAGAAAGCAGAGAGAGAAAGAAAGTGCCTCCCAACAAGTTAACAAGACGGCGGGGATCAAGGTCTGCAGAGTAACAGGGGAGGAAAGAGTGAAGAGAGGGCAAGGAGGTCGAGTGGGCGCCGAAGAGGGGAAGGGGGGATGGTATTCAGGGCGCGGAGGGGCAAGCAGGCGTCTGGAAAAGAGAGAGAGAGAAAAAGAGAGAGAGAGAGAGAGAGGGGCAGGTCGTGGTGGCGCTGAGCAGCTCAGGAGGCGTCCAGGTGAGACGGCAACCCCGGCGGCGGGGCTGATGAAGGTGGCGGCGGAGGCAGAGCAGAGGGTGGGGAGCCGCCAGTCCCCTCCCTGCTGGCACAAGGGAAGCCGAGCCGCGCCCTTTGGAGTCCTGGTGTTTTTAAAACTTAACAAGCCTGGGCGGGGAGCCGCCGCCGCCGCCCTTCGGGCCGGGCCAGCCCTCTCCTTCTCCCCGTCGGGCGCGCGGAAGGAGTGCGAGGCGAGGGAGCAACGAGAGCGAGCCTTCAGGTCTCCCCTTCCTCGCGCCGCTGCTCTTCCCGCCCTTGCCTCCTCTTTGTCCCAGCGCTCTGGCTTTACCTGGGCCCAGCCCAGAGACGAGGAGGAGGCCCACGCCCCGCGGCGGACCGGCCAGTCCCTGCCTGGGTGAGAGGGAGAGAGCGGAGTCCCCTTGCTCTCGGGCCCGCCCTTGAGGGCGAGGAGCCTGGGGAACGCGCCCCGGGAGGGTTGGGCTGGGCTTGGGCTGGACGGAGATGAGGGACGCTTGGCTTCCGCCGAAGAAACCCGCCGCTCTCCCGACGGCAACCCGAGAGGAGGCGGTGGCTTCAGGTGGCGCCCGAATAACCAGCCAGGGGTGGGGATTTCTCACGCACTTTTCAGTCTTAGTCCGGGTGACTCTTCTGGGCGTTTTAACACGGATTTGGGCGCCTCTCAGCACAGGCGGGTCGCCCGGGCCCTACCCACAAGAAGGCGGGGTCACTCCCTCACACGTGTGAATGTGGGATTTTGCTTGTGTATGGGTTTTGTGCAAACCGTCATTCAAGGCAGCCAATAATAATAAAACCTTACTAACAATATAAAATATTAAATCATAATAAAAAAATTGGAAACAGTTTTGCTTGTGTAAGGATTTTGTGCAAACCGTCTTTCCATTAAAAAAAAAAGTCATTCAAGGCAGCCAATAATAACAAAACCTTACTAACAACATAAAATATTAAATCATAATTAAAAAATTGGAAATAATTTGAGGGCACCTAACGATCATCATAAAATGCAGGTCAAAAACTTTACATAACAACAGAATTAACATGAAGTTAAACCAAACAATTCTGGTCTAGGCGTGCAGGGCTGTATATTCACAACTGAGATGGCTTCAAGACGGTTTGCTACCGCTGACAAAACCACTGTACAGGACTAATTAAGAGTCTGAACTGAATCTTGCTTCAGTTCTATTCATGGGATCACACCTTCCTTACAAGCTAGTTTTGGGGGTGCAGGACAGGCTGCATAGTATCCATAACTGGGTCCTTGAATACCTTAGAGCTGTTCCTTTCCCCCTCTGTTATCTGGCATCTGGGAAAGTTATTTGACTCTAATAGTAGAGTCACTGTTTTTTGAACTTCAAGTGTCAAATTGTTGCCTGAGCTTGTGCATCGTGTTAGTTGCAATGAGCTAATAATGTGTTTAAAAACAAATGCACAAACAGAGAATGGCAAAGAGTTGAGTTAATCTTGTTCATTCAACTCAATAAGGGACAATCTCAGTGCTTAGAATCTGCTTGCTAAATATATGCTCATTGTAACTGCTTCGAAAATCAGATAGGTAATGCTTTTGATACGCCTTAAGATGTACTGTAGTGGATAGAATGAAAGACTAGAACTCTGCAGACCAGGGTTCAGATATTCGCTGGGGATGTGGAACAGCTAAAATCTCTCAAATATCTCACTTCTCTTGAAATCCCTATTGAGGCTGCTATAAGTCAGTTCCAGCTTGATGACACATAATGCTTTGGAACTTAACTACAGTACTGTATATTTTTACCTATATTCTTTCATGTTCTTTCTTCAGTGTGCTACTATATTGGAGAACACTTTGCAATTTGCTCCAGAATTGACACGAGTGAATTTGAAGTATTTTTCAATGATTATACAATGTAATCTATTTATTTATATAAATATTGGTGTGGATCAGCCCATCCTGTTTTCCTTCCAATTTGGACTCCCCACCCCACTCCACCATTGAGGCCTTCTACTTTTTTTCTAACTGTAGCGATTCGAATGGTATTCTGCTTGTGTGATCACTTGTTTCATTCTCCAAAAAGACTGAGGGATATGGCTTTCAATGGTGTTTTTGTGATAGAATAAATTGGGGCATGATGTTTTGGGCCAGTGGAAACACCCACCCCCAACAGCCTTTCTCCCTAATCTCCCAAATTATTTTTAAAACAACATTAAACTAAAGGTATAAAATTGAAACAAATCCAACAAACTTCAGCAGACTACAATGTTTCCATAGTGTGTGTATATGCTTATACATGTAAGGAGAACTTTGGGAAACTGTCCTTTTTTCTTTACTGCCATGCGAACTTTTAAACAGTCCCAGCAGCTTTAAACAGCAAACCATAAGAGGGGAGATGAAGATCAGCCAGAGTGTGGCATCAAAAGAAAATGAGCTGTGGTTGTGTATTGAACCACACTGGGTTGAGGGGCTGTTTTCACATGGTCATCTAAACTGAACACAGTCTCAAAAGAGAGGCTGTGTTTCAAGCTGATGCGCAGCTAAATCACTCAGATTCAGCTTGTCAACGTAGTCACATCCTAAACTAATCTGTGTCAAAGCTGCTGTTGGTTTTGAACTGGGGGACAAATACAGAATCCAGGGTTTGATTTATGGGGTTTGCCAAAATTTAATACCAAACCTGCAAGATTCCAGTCTGGAGAAAAAAATGGCAAAGAACACTGAGGACATGTGCAAAGTAGCTTCTGCATGGTAAGACTTTTGCCTGCCCCACACCACAGCCCTGCGAGCGGGTGAAATAACAGCCATATGAGAGAGTATGACTTGTCAATTAAGTGTGGGCACTAGCGAGAATTTCATTTAAGAAATTAAATCCCAAAAGCCACTTTTGCTTCTCTACATATCTAATTATTATACACAGTGATTGGCTACACAAATGAAAGTATAATGGGGGAAAGCCTGATGAAATCTTTTAATTAGTTTGCTGATTTCCTACTATGTACACTGTACAGCATCAGTTGCATCTGCCTATAATTACATCGTCTCTTGACAGACTTCTGTGTGGGCAAAATCAGAGATGAAACAAGTTAGCTAAGATAGGTGATAAGGAGTGTGGAGATAAGTGATGCAACACTGATGTTGAGACTAGAGCTACATCAGATGTGACATGGGAAACTAGTAACCTTTAATTTAAAAAAAAATCTTACTAGTAGACCCCAAACAGGGAATCAGCCAGACCATGCTTTTGGATGAAGAAAGCGTTGTGTCTGTGATTTCCGGCCCATAGTTTCCAGGCTCAATGCATTGATCCATACTTTCATCATGAGGGGGCAGAGCTCTGAAATAAAGCAGTGGAGGAAAAAAAAATAGTGTGCTACTTTCACTCCATTGAAAAACAGGATGATAACAGAATTTCTCTTTAATTTTTGATTGAGGCTATGACTCACACAGGAGTAGGGCCAGGTCAAGATATTTTGCTGCCAGAGGTAAAGGATAAATTAAGCCCCCCCCTCCCCCACTGCTTATATGAATGCTTGGCTGCTTTTTCAGGCTGTGTGTGTGTATCAATACTTGCTGTTGGCCTTTGTTTTCCTCATCACCCTTGAACCCACCCCATCTCATGCTGGGCCTTCCTTCCCACTAACTGCAATAACACAAACCACTGCCAATTCCATATAAAGCTATCTGTACTGACATCTCAAAGTTGGCAACAGAGAAAAGTCTCCTAACACACATGAGGAGAACAGGCTATCTGAGCGGGGTTTAGGATAAGAGTGTCAACTCTCAGTCCAAATGGAGGCTGCAACCAAGAAATCACAAGAAGGCTGAAACTCAGAAGGGCAATAATGAAGGGATTAGAAAATATAATAAAATGTAAGGATAAAGACTGAAACCATGATCATCTACACGCTTGTATTTCCGATCACCATGCATGGGTGTGAATGCTGGACAGCTAAGCAAACTGACAGGAAAATAATTTATTAGTTTGAAATGTGGTGCTGGATGATAACTTTACCGTACTGCAGAAAAATGAAGAAGTGGGCTCTAGACCAAATCAAGCCTGGAAGTAAGAAGGATGAATCTGGTTTGAAATGTGGTGCTGGATGATAACTTTGCTGTACTGCAGAAAAATGAACAAGTGGGCTCTAGACAAAATCAAGCCTGGAAGTAAGAAGGACGAATCTGGGGCTGTCATACTCTGGGCACATCCTGAGAAGGCAAGATTTTCTGGAAAAAACAATAAGGCTGAGAAATGTTGGATTTATCAGGAAAAAACAGAAGACCAAATACAAGATGGATTGACTCCCTAAACTAAGGAAGCCACAGCCTTGAGTTACAAGCTTTAAGCAGGGCTATTGAGGACAAGACAATCTGGAGGTCATACAATCATTGGGTCACTATAAGTCAGAGGCAACTTGAAAGCATGTAAAAACAACAGATAAGAGTATGTGACACACATACCTGTCCTCCAAAACAGAGGAACAGCTGTAAGGATGCTGAACCCGTCCTGCACATTTGCCACCTCAAGTGGTTATATCACTCTGCTGTCAGTTAAAGTAGATTTCCCAGATGTCCCAGCAGATCTCCTCTATGATTCTCACAGCAAAACGCCATCGTGCCAATATCAAGAACTTCTAAGTGCAAGTGCTACCTTCAAAAAACTGTAATAAAGGCACATAATCTCTCTATTTTTTTTCTTTATTTCTCCAATTGCATAACAGTCATTTTCAATTTAACAAGTTTTTTCTCTCTCATGGGCACATACAAAAAAGCCCCTGCTCAATGCATGGTTCTTGTCCTGGAAAAAAAGAAGGGATAATTTCCTGATGAGAAATTGTGTTTCTTTACCTCCACTCCTTTCCCTTGGTTGTGTGTGAACTGCTGCATACTCTAAGGTAGTGGTTCCCAACCTTGGGTCCTGAGATATTCTTGGACTGAAACTCCCAGAAGCTTTCACCACTAGCTATGCTGGCCAGGATTTCTGGGAGTTACTGTAAAGTCCAAGAACATATGAGGCCCCAACATTGGGAACTACTGCTCTAGGGGAAAAGAAATCCAAGGTGGAGCCAGTAGGACTCTGCTAAAGGTAGGCAAGTTTAGGTATTACTGAATTTGCCCTGTTTCCCTGAAAATAAGACCTAACCTGAAAATAAACCCTCGTATGATTTTTCAGGATGCTTGTAATATAAGCCTTAACCCAAAAATAAGCCCCAGTTAAGTGAAACCCTGCCCTCCACCATTGTGCAGCAACCAGAAGAAGATGACATGACTGTATTTGAATAAATGTAGATTGTTGTACATGAAAAAAAAACATCCCCTGAAAATAAGC